GTCATAGTCCTCAGGTTCATTTATCTCCTTACGTCATCGGTTAGAGAACGATGCTATGTCATGCAGAGTAGAAAAATTAGAGAGGAGGAGAACGAAGAAATGTTCATTGATTTGATTTGGTGCTTTTGTTTTTGTTTGGGTAAGGTTGAGTTCTCTACACAACGCATTCATTTATTTATTATTACAACACGCATTCATTTCTCTACACAAAACATATTGAACATTTCTTTATATACTATAAGAATACAGAAATTTGGAGGAAATACGGGAAAGCTTCAATATCTATTACTTTCAAACTAAAAGTGTAATCAAAAAATCTTTTTTTTAACACGGTGCAACGTCAAAGTGTACAATTCAGAGGCAAAATCAGACGGTGTTAGTAAAAAGAGTCAAAAATTGTTATTGATGGATTGCTTTCAAAAACAAATGCAGTATCGATACCTTCGATATATGATATGAAGTGTTGACGTTGCGGCTTGCATTACTATCCAGAAACTACGGTGATACTCTCTACAAATTCTATCTTTTCCGTTATGCCTTGGCTATAGCGTCGCAAGTCTGTCAACTCATTTCTACCCTTAATAATAATTCGTTAGTGTTCGACCTTACCTCTGCATTTATTGAATGTCAATGCTCCTGATAGAACTTCAGTATCAATTCAATTTTCTCATATAAAACGTGTGGCAAAGGGTTCCCAGTTAGTGATAAATACAATGCACGATAGATATTTAGTATTTGTGGGACACGTTTGGCTAACTGTTCAACGTACCCTTCACTCGGTTAATTATGCGAAATATTTCTTTTGTATAACGGACGATATGTTGCCGAAACTTTTCATGATACGATCGTAATGCAAATTCAAACAATTGTTCAATATGTCTCTTAGCTAAATGACATTGCTCCTCTTTTAAATTCTCATGAAATTCTTTTAATTTTTCTAAAATTTTATTATCAATACTTCTAGGCAAATTGTACGATAAATAGATGCTAGCGGACGCAGTTGACGTGTTGGATGATTTCAGTTGATTGAGATATTGATCAGAAATTATATTATGTATTTGGATTTTTAATTCATAACCGTTGATATATAATCCATTGTTTGGCAGTAGAGTCTTTAAGTCGCTTTCCTTATCAGCACTAAAGCGAATTTTAACATAGCCAGGTGCTTGTTCAGCACATACTAACTGTGCTTCATCTTTGATTTCAGTTTTTAATAGATACATCAAATCAAATTCGTACGAACTCATACTGCCATCCCCAAGAAACTTCGTATTAAATTGTCCTTCGCAAGGCTACCATTTAAAAGTATGGAGATATCCATATATGAATTTCTGCCCAGATTATTCTTGGACGAACCGGTTCCCATATTGTAGTAGTATGTGTGCAATGACGCAAAGTGATGGAGAAGAAGAGACTATAACTGCGGTAGTTGAAATTTTTCAATTAGTAAAATGAATACTGATTCTGGACGATCATGTAAACTGTATTGTGACAATGAGTCAAATTTGTTTGTTGTTTGTTGCAAAAATATTTGCTTTTGTGAAAACGGAAGAAGAACGGAAAGCATGCTGCTTCTTATTTCTCTTCTCAGTTTCACACAAAAGAAAACGAAAACAATTCTTTGAGCGGAGAAAATTTACTAAACATAAAATTATTAATTCTATATCTTTAATGATGAAAGGGACCTTTTTCTAAAAAGCAGATCAATATATAGTACAACTCGTGCGCTTCAGATAAGGATAAAAAGTGGAAAAGGTCCTTTCTAATTATTTTAGTTTTAATTCGCAAAATTGGGAATAATAAGACTAAAATCACAGTCAGTACTACTTCTTTTGAACAGAGAATAAACAAACATGATCAATAAAAATATAAAATCTGTCTTTCCTTATTTTGTTCTTGAAAAAGAAATAACGTTCTATATATACGACTTATGTTCTACCACGCAATCAGTTATACTGATTCTGAACATACAAAAATCTCAACAAAAAAAATAATAAGTCAAACTTTCATTTTCATGTTTCATTTCCACTTTATTTCATTATCTACGTAAAATTAATGTGAATACTCAGTAAATAACTAAAGCTTGAACATATTATGACTGATTATCATGACCCGAAGAGAAAGTCGGAAAGTCACGGTTGTCAAAAGGACAGATCTGACTTGTTAAAGTATTTGTTAAAGTAAGTTTATCTGATTAATGAAATAAAAATCATTTTTTCGAAAGATAGACTCATCTAGTTTCAGACCTTTGTTATAACAGCGATTAGCGAAAAATAATGTCAGAAAAAGATTATATACATATATGTTTTGTAAAGTAATAGAATAATTGTGTATATTCAGTAATTATCAATACTGTGACATTGATCAGTGTTATAAACTGTCTATACGAGAAATAGAATTTATTTGTGCATAACTAACTTCTCTGCTATAATATTGTCTCATCCGATACGATGGATTAGGTTTTACTCAGTTTTCATTACTACTGATCTTATCCTTTTCGTATTTGGCAGTTTTTTCTTCACCTCTTATTTTCTCTTGTCTTCATTTCTGCATTATTATTTGTCAAACAGAAATTATTTCATGTTTGTTGCACAACGTCTTGAACAATATCCCAACAGGCAAACTTTGGACGTATGTTCATATTAACTAAACTGAATATTCGATGAAAATAGTATTTGTTATTCTCTTATATTGAGTTTAACAGAAGAGTCTTCCTAAATGCATGTCGCGTACTTTATTTGTTTCTTCATTTGCGTCTTTTTTCGTATTTTGGCACATAACATACATACATACACAAAAACTTTTTACTTAAACTCAATATAAAAGAAGAACAAATACTCTTTTCATCGAATGTCTGTCAATTATCTCTACAGGGAAAAGATTGACACCTTCATACAACATATAGTCAGTAAAACACAAGCTTTTCGCTTCCATTGAAGGAATTTAAATCGATTTTACACGGTAAACATGTTGTCTATTATAACGTTTTCTCTTTCTTTTATGCAGTATCTGTACGGATAAAATATGAAAAGAGAACGAATAATAGAATAGAAAACGAAAAATTATTCTCGAAATTTTTTCATTTATTAGAGAACGGCATTGAAAATAGAATGTTTTTTTATGTATTTCTAAAAATACTGAAAAGAAAAAGGTTAAACTGTTTATTTTCAAAAACATAGAAAAAAGAACGGATTTAGATCTTCATGAGCGAAAAGTATGACCTGACCACACGACGGCTAAACTAACAAATATTCACTGCCCATGCAGTTAGTTACTTGATACATAGTAATCTTCACAAGCAAGAAATACCACTACGTAAACGTTTTATTATACTATGTCACATAAGAGCTGGATTTTTGAAATTCTATGCAAATCCCCAATAGATCTCGATATTATTGTTGACCGTTATGAATTAACGAAATTTCGAACCGAATATACATCAGTTGGTGTTAAATATACATATCGATGTGCGTCGTACAAAAAACTTCCATCGTTCGCTATGCAGCTACAAGCAAAACAATTGAGCATGACCGATGTCGATACATTTGAAATGTCCAAAGTCCGTAAACACGATCATATAAAACAAGCGTTGGCAACATGCGTTTCATCATTTATTCGAGACGATGGCACACACAAATTACCGAATAATCGTGTGCCACTTGGAAAAAAAATAAGAGGACGACCAAAAAAACAAGTTCAGTTCAGTTCAGTTTATTTACAAAAAGTCATGAGTAGCACAAATTGTAAACATGGTCAGTACAAAATATCTCAAAGAGAAGTCCTGCTGCGGACTCACATACAAGTTTTGCTCTATTATTTTGATAAACACAGATTAATATTTTTTGCTCACTTTTACTCAGGCATCATATACGTAAATATATATGACCTTGCATGATAGTCGAATTTCTATCAGTCATTGGGAGAAGCTTAAAGAATATCGCGACGATAACGCGAAAATATTTAAAAGAGAACGCAGTTAGATTGAGAAGAAAACGGTTTGAATTTTTCGGAGAACACAAATTAATTAGGATAGAAAACCGAACGCATTTTGAATATTTAATTTTTACTTTTTCTAACTATATCTTTCACTAACTTTTTCACTGTATATCGAAAAATGACAAGAAGAGTTTGATCTTTTGCTGGAATTTTTTCTAATAATATTTATTTAATGAATATATTAAACATAATTCAATTTTCCAGTTTTGTTCACAACAAACATCATCTGGTTTAAAATTGCTATATCGTTGTTCATCATATAAGAAATATCCTGATTGCGATTTTCAAATACAAGCAACAATTGATGATTTTAAACAAATTTCAGTTAATACATCCAAGCAACATAATCATGATGCTCGTGCTGCTTCCAGTCGTGTACCATCACATAGAGGTGAGATTGTTAAAAAATCAGTTGTTGCAAAACTTACAAAATCTCAGGCACGTTTGACTATACAAAATGAACATTCTGAAACAGTACCATCCTCACAATTCACAAGTTTATTACTCCTTCATCGATCATTATCTCGTCCTGCCATTTATTCGGTTGATGATCTTTTCAAATCAATCAAATGCGTTCTCTTTTCTATCCCAATTAATTTGCGTTCGTCCAAAAATTCAAAACGATCTCTTTTCAATCTAACTGCGTGACTAATGAATTAATTAATCCGTTCTCTTTTCAATTATTTTATTTCAGAATTCAAAATCATCCTCTTTTCAACGATAAAACCGTGCTCTTTTCCATTTTTTTTATTCTGTTATCTTTTAATTACAAATTTCAACGTAATTATCAAACTGTTTTCCATTCTATGCAAATTCTGTTCTCTTTTCATTTCTTGTCCTATCTGTACAGATTTATGAACACTTACAGGGAAAAACAGAGGAGAAAAGTTTGTGTCTGATAACTCTAATTACACTTCTTTTTTCAATATCATTCTGTTATCCGTCATCAGAGCCAAAAGATTCGTGTAAAATACTTAAAAAATATAGATTTATGTAATAATCAGCTCTGCTTTGAGATTCAAAAGTTCATTTTGCAGTAGAATTTGATTTGAAATGTTGGTGTAACACCTGCATGATATCTGCAACTGATGCCATTATTACATGTTTTTCGTCAATATATGGTGGAATAATAGTGCAGCCCCATTCCTTTAATCTCGCTTCTGATATTCGAGTTTGTGGATGGTTCCATAGGCCATGATTCATTGATGGTGCAATAAATACTGGACACTGAGCACCCAGTGCATCGGCAATCATTGATGTTGCAAGATTATCGGCTAAGCCCAGTGCCAGTTTATTAAATGTATTGAATGTACAAGGTGCAACTAACATTGTACCAAATGGAAATATATCGAGTGGAGGATCCCCGTAGTCACGAACAGCATGGCTGCCAGGCACACCATAAATCTCATCAGGGGACACCACGGTGCTCACATGTGGTGTCAAGACGGTATATGTTTTCCAACCGGCAGCCACCGTTCCACGAATCAGTTCGGGTACATCTTTTACCATACCAGAACTTGTGACAAATAAGAATACTGTTGATACTGACATTTTGCTACCACGCTGCTTTGCAATGTGAAGTGAGAGAAAATTCCTTTATAAAATATATTTCTTTTTTAATCTAGTGCTGTACTTGCTTTGGTTTGTCACTTTCTCTCATCGTCAATATAGCCGCCAAGGCTGTTGTAAAAGAAGAAAGAAAAAGAAGAACGCACGTTGTTCGTGTGTAAATATTCCGAATAAAAGAGATAAATTAACCTCTTGAATGCCGTTATTTTTCCTCTTACGCGTCCAAAGGCATGCATATATAAAAAAACGATTAAATATCTCTCTTTGCGTTCTGCTATTTTCGTGACGTGTGTTCCTCTGCCACTTTTTTTTCGTTAAACCGATAGAACGAAAATGAATGTAAAAAAGATTGTTTATCAAATGAATTGAACGCATCTAGTAAACCATGGTGGTGTATGGATAAAAACACGTTAAATAACAAAACAGTACTTTTCCACCTCTTTTAGATAAAATAAATGATGAATTAATATTTGAACGGCCTGGAAAGGCAGAATTACTAAATAAACATTTTGCTAACATTTGTACAGTGTCAACAAGTGAACTGAATGATGACCCTATCCTTATTCCAAAATCTTCACTACACGCTATGTCAACATTTGATATTTATCAGTCCGACGTCTTTGAATTATTAAAGAGATTGTAGTAAGGCAGCTGCACCTGGCCTCTCAGGTAGAATATTGAAAGAAGCTGGTGCCGTAGTAACACCAATTATTACCTATTTGTTTAATGAGTCGCTAATAAATGAATAGTTTTCGAAGTCTTGGAAACTTGGATATGTTACTGCGATATTTAAATCAGGTGACTGTCATAGTCTAAGTAATTATAGACCAATTACTTTACTTCCGATTTTATCAAAAATTTTAGAACGTATTGTACATCGCAAAGCATATGGGTACCTCGTAAATTATGGACTTCTGAATAAAACCAGTCTGGATTTCAGAAGAATGATTCTACTATTAATCAACTAGTATTCATAATACATGTGAAATTCATGTTTTCTAAATCAGAGACGAAAAACTCGAAATTCTGCCCGTAATTCTCAATTTTCTCGATTAGAACTCAACTTTTATCCAATAAAAATGTTATATTCGGAATCACACGTTGGAATATGACCAAGATTTCAGCCGAGAAAATTCGAAAAAAAACCGAAGCAGTCGGATAGGGTAAAAATACATATCAATCGACTCAATTTTTGATCCTAATTCAGAATATAACATTCTTATTGGATAAAAGTTAAGTTCTAATCGAGAAAATTGAGAATTACGGGCAGAATTTCGAATTTTTCGTCTCTGATTAAGAAAACATGAATTGTCTGAGCAACTAAACAAAATTTTAAAAGAACCTCGCCATATCTTTAAAGCTGGCGTGTTGGCCGATGTGATGGTGCGTGAATGATCGGTATAGTCCTTCATCCCAAAAAAGTAGATAGGTTTACAAAATGAGTCATACCCACTTCGAGTTTTTCCTTATGTTTGTTGAAAAAACCTGATTTTTCCACAGAAAAAAG